TGAGATGAGAGGGACCGTGAGATGAAATTTTGCGAGGGAGAGAGAGCGAGTATTTTTTCATTTGCCAGCTTGCTGTCGAGACTCGTCGGTGTTTCGCAAAAGTTGGCAGGGAGAAAAGCCACAGAGCTCTCTGGTTTTAGCAAATGAAAAGAATGAAAAGTGGACAGCGCTCGTGTTCTCCGACGGGCTGCGTGTGCCGCGTGCCCAATTACATTTTAATGTTTGCGGTTTCGCAAATGAGAAACCGACCTCCCGCGACGCTACGAAAACAAATATTTATAAAAAAAACTCGTCAGATTATTTTTTGCTGAAAATAAAATGACGCAATTTATTGAAGGACCCTCTCTTTTGCATTGAAGGATAATGAAGAGCAAAAGCTTCCCATGGGCCATTTCGGAAGAGGCTCTTGACAGTTTCGCGTCCGCCAGCAGCTTCTCATTTGATGGAAAAAGAGTTGTTGCTGGAAAGTGGAGGGCGATCGAGCCCTCGACTCGATAAGTAGAGGCCGCTTTCGCAGTGCAAATTGAGGGCAATGAATCAAACAGCTCGCGGCATCCGATCCACACCCTCGCCTTTATTTTTATGGTGCAATAAATGTTTATTCCTTTATGATGTCATTTAGGGGTCGGGGATTGATTGAAATTGCGTCGCCACCCTGAACGAAGGCAGAGCAATCACTCGCAGGCGACCGTCGGATTTGCAAATGTGTAGGTAGCGGAAATAAATTTTCTGTGCTAGACATTTGATTTGCCTCATTTAATCCAACGAAATAAGCAGCTTAACTCTGCGCCTGGACAGGGAAAAACGTTCATTATAAGGTACAACGGCGATTCTCAAAGAGATATAATGAATTCTGTGCTTGTCACTTCGCTAATCTAGTTTTCAGTTGTTTAGTCTAATATTTTAACATTAATTAAAGTCGTCAAATCAAGTTTCTTTTTAAATCACGTTTTCTAAAATCTTTCTAATTCCGTTTTTTTTTTGAGTGTATAAATCACGTTTTTCAAAAATTGTAAATAACCTTTTTTTACGATTCGTGAAATCAGGTTTTTTAACTTGAAATCAAGTTTTCTTTATAAACATAGCAGTTGAATTCGTCCACATCAAATGCTAAAATAAAAAAAAAATTGCAAAGTATTTAATTCCGTATCTACTTATCGGACCACGCTGGTTTTGAGCGGAACAGCTCTGTTCTCTGTTGCAAAAAGGGCCGTAGAAAAGATTCCGATATTGTGAATTTTGCTTCAATCGCCGACTTGTGACTTCCAATACCCGTCTGACCTCATTATCGACTTTGCGAGGGAGCTAATAAAGAGCCAAGTTTCATTTTCCTCCCAATCTTCACAAAAGAAGCTGAGAGCTGCGGGAAATATCTTTTGTACAATTTCCCAGCACGGCCGTTTTCGGCTGAAAATGAGCCCTGCCTCTGCTTTTCGGCTCCCCTCAATCAAAAGTAAATCCCTCGGCGTAATCCGAAATCAAACCCTGATGCTCGGCGATAAGAAATATCCTGCAGCTCTTGCTGACCACCCCACCTACAGCATTTCAACGATAATCCCCTGCAACTAGGTAGGGATAATTAATCGTTCCTAACCGGGCTGGAACTGCACCGCTCTCTAATTATCGCGTGGCCAATTACGGTGACATATTTCTGAACAAAAACTGCGTTGCAAAATAAGACGAATAAGACGCCCGAGCTATATACATGCGATCATAATTGACAGCGGCGGGTAATTGAAGCTGCGCCGCAGACGTGCTTATTAACGAGCTGAATAAATAATCAGTCTCTCCGCGAACGAATGCGGAGGGAAACAAAACGAGCAAGGCAAACTGGGAATGAAAAAGCACTTGTCGACTGGCTGGCTGGCTTGCTGCGAAATTTATGAACCATTCCTACTTCCGACTTGCCCGCGCAGTGGATATGAAATTAAATTTTTCGCACTTGCGAGCTGGAGAAAATTATGTAAGAAGTTTTGCGCCCGCAAACCGCCGAAAGAAAGAATAATAAATTCGGCTTCTGCCACTGGAGAAAAAGTTGTTACGCCCAAGAGCGAAATGACTGCGCGCGATATAATAAAACTTAATGAACTTGAACAAGACAAACAAAACTGCGGCCAGCGTTTATGCAAATCTTGGTCTCTCTGCTTGAAGGGAGGTTTGCTCGATTCACAAACAGAGAAAACTGGCCTAATTAGCAGATGGTTCTCGTTACTTTTTATAAGAGGAAAAGCACAATTATGCCTAATTTGGCGTTTTAACATTCAATCTGAGAAAGACATTTGCTATTGAATTATTGCTCAGTGAAAATAAATAAAAAAAAAAGCAAAAATATTATAAAAAAATAATTAAAAAAAATTTATCCTTAGATAAATCAAATAAAAACCTCAATTAGGTGTTTTTACACCCGAAGAGTTGATGACAAATTCTTTCTGGCTCCATTACTTCTACTTAAATGCCCGCGAGAGTTCATACGTGGGTCTCGTTAAAATTTAAAGTCCTGGTAAATGATGCAGGAGCGACGGTATTGGGTTGTCCTTTAGGGGATTATGTCCGTCGTGATGCCTAAAGACGGGTCTTTTGCTCGAATGTGGCCATCCACGCCCAATCCTATTAGCGCTGCGAATTCTAATTTCTCCTTCACAGCGTCCAACTCATTGCGTACGAGCCGCCCACTCGTTCTCCCTCTTGCTGCTGGGCTCTAATTTTCTAGCAAATTAATTTTTAATCTTTAATGAAGTGCGGGATTAGCTCGCTGGTGGAAATGCCTGTGCTTCAAGTGTGAATCCAGAGTTCAGATTCAGACCCAGCTGCTGCTCTTTGTGCTTTAGGGTTGTAACTAAGCAGGGTGGAAGAGGAACGTTCCCGGCAAATTTTCCATTACAAGAGAGAGTAATTATTTAATTAGGTTTAAAAACCACAACCGTTAGTTAGTTTTGCGTATTTCACAGAGAAGAAGCTTGTTTTAAAGATGAAAATTAACATTCTACCTAGAGTTTCCAAGATAGAGAAACAAATTATATTACTAATATCAATATTGAATTGTTTTCCCTATAGATTGTAAATCTACTCCTTTTTATTCGATAAATTTGAAATTAGGAATGCAGAATTTATGTATATCAAGTGAATAATTCAAGCTGGCAATATTTTTACCAAAATTGATGAAACAGCGTTTTTAAATCAGAGAAATGCATCCAGTTTCGATTTTCAATTTAGCTTTCGACGAGTGTGCAAAAAATGGTTGTTAAATAAATCCCACTTGACAATTCGTTCGACGTGTGATATCTGTCAGCAAATCGACGGTTAAAAGCGCCGGTTTCAATTGACGGAAAAAAGCGTTGACTCGCTGTGTTTAATCTGTACATTAAATTCACTATGGAACGAATTGCCTCGCATGCACAATTGCTCGCAATTCAATAAACCGGGCGAGGCCGCGTGTAAAACAAAAATGAATAAAAAGCAGTGCATGCCTCTCACCCTCACCAACCCCGCCGATTGTGGCGAGGTCAACTTTTTGCATTGTGAGAGATGCTCGGGCCTGTCACTGCCTCAGAAGTGAGGTGCTCTAGAGGCAGAATAAGAATCTCGTCCGCCGCTATTGTGCCGTAAAGGGTGTGTAAAGGGGTGGACGGGACGGATGGGTATTCTATCAGTGCTCCCAGGAGTCAGTCGATGAAGCTCTCCCGCCGAACACGTCACAAGAATGCCTCTCCATCATATTCCCTCGCAGGCTGCGGCGCGGCTGGGCATATCAGCGGCGCGCGCTATATTGCAAAAAGAAAAAGGAGAATAACCCTTTTCCATTGTGCTCGGCAGCCACTTTATAATACATAATAATACTTTAGTGCCGTGCATGGTCGCGAGCACAAAGCCGCCAGTTTTTCTTCGCAAAAAAACCGCCGCTCGCTTCTTAATTTTATTACCTAAAAATATATATAGAGAGATGATGGTCTTCTCTCTCACTCTTTTCTCTCTGCGGTGTTTGTCAAGAAATACGACGCTTGGGGCTTTGCCGTGTAATGCGCCGAGAAATGTAGACTTTGCAGATGGGTTTGCAGATAGTTTCGTCAAGCACGAACGAATTTATATGCCGTTTTTCTGCCGCGAAACACTCACTTGCCTCGCCCGGGCGTTTACTGCAAACGATCGGTATGAAATTTCATGACGCATCTCGCCAACTTTACGTGCGAACGCGAGATTTTCAATCAGAAAAAGACGCAGCCCCTGGGCAAATATTAAAACTTTCCCTCTCGCGAAAGTGGCCGGAAACTTTCTCAACTTTGGCCTTCTCTCCCGCATTGAGAGAGATAAAAGGCAAAAATCGCCGGCAACAAACTAACTCTCTCTTGGTTGGGGCCGACCGGCCACTGCTCTGCTGTTGACAAAACCACTGACTCTGTGTGAAGGGTTCATCAATTTATGGGCACGAGAAATGTAATTAAATAAGAGGCCCTCCGAATACAAACTGGAAATTACCCCGGTTCACGCTGCCGGACTCGCTTAATTGCCCCCAAACAACAGGCTGGCCAACCACCCTAAATCTCTTACCAAATCACCCTCCGCCTTATCTCTTTTTCAATAAAAGCGGAAAGGAAATCTTAGCAATGTACTTTTGCCAGTTTTGTTTGAGCCTGGCTTGAGATAGAAAAATTCTATTCTTGGAGAATCGGGCTGCCGAGGAAAAAAGGGGCAGGCACTTTGAGCCTCTTCTTATTTGCGTTAATGCCGAAAGTTTGCCAGCCGTTTTCTTTGTTGGGCCTTATTTGTTTCATTTTTTCCTTGCTTAACTAGAAAAGTTTTGCGTATTATACGCGGAGGCGGAGAAGTCACGACCGAGAAAAGTGTCATTTTGGAAAATTAACGCAATTTCCGTCCGACGCTCGCAATCTCGACTGTCGAGTATCATTTTTTATTTCGCCCTTCGTTGCAAAGAAAAGATGAATAATCGAGGGAACGCGCTGTGAAATTCAAATGGAATGTAATACCAAGTTATCCATACTCACCTCGGTCGTGTTCTCTGCAAAAAGCTGCCACGCGTTGATAGTCTGGAACAAAGAGAATTCTTCTGTTATAAAAGGAAGAAGGAAATTTCTATTCCAACGCTGTTGGTAATCCCAACCTAATTTTCTCCCTCTTACTTTTTTTAAATTTTTTAATAGTTTTGCCGTTTGATCTTTGAAATTTCACTCGCTATTTTCGTGCAAAAATCCAAGTCATGCATTATATTTTTATAAAATTGTTTTTCATTTCAGCGTTCATTTTTCCCGGTGATGTGTTTTGGTTTACGCTCACCCGGCGAGCAAAAAATGGAACCATAAATTTGGACTAAATTAAGTCGCAGCGCTAAAAATTTACGAGCCGCTTTTAATGAGATTTTTATTTGGTTTGCATTTTCCGGCGGAATGGATCTAGTCCGTTTTTTTTTTTATCACGGAGCGCCGTAATAACTCGCACGTCGCTATTGAACAGCAAAAAAATTTGCAGCTCACTCGCACACACGCCGAAAGGACCTAGAGTTAGTTATTTTTCGATTCGCAAAAGGAAAACAGACAGTGTTGCGGATTTGATTTTCAATTTGTGTGCGCCGAGCAGCATGGTGCGGTAGCATCCACTAACAATGATTTATGCACGGTGGGTGCGTCTAATTTGATATGCAAATCCGCGTTTTCGGCTCAATGGCTGCTGATGTGCGAGGATAAAGCTCGCCGGGTTGCCGCGCGCACCAGACGAGAGTGCATCCATCCCTGGCGCCGCGTAAACATACACAAAATAATAGCAAAAGCAGTCTTTCCGCTGGGAGCAGCAACCCATCGAACAAGAAGTCTCACGAATAATTCCTGCCGAGTCGGAGAAGTGGAGTTCATTAATGACTGTGCGTGCGAGCTATGAAAGTGCAAAAATATAGAGCTCTGAATGTTGTTTCAAGCCCTCTTTTACCTCTTTTTCTCCACAAAAGGTCTGCAAAAGTATTTTTAGATTCGTAATTAAATACCTGCCGAGTTGTTCTGACAATCAGGATTCATTAATAAATTCTTATTGCTACTAGATCTGACTGTCCATGAGTCTTTGAGTAATTATTAAGGATTAAAATTTAAAATAATCATCAAAAGTGTTATCATTAATCATTTAGAATAAATCAAAACATATATGCAAAAAATGGGAGAAAAGCATAAAGTCATGAGGATTAGTATTAAGATCTTGCTCAATGGATGTTGATCTATAATTTATTGTTACCAAAACTTTATAATTTATATAATCTTGCAACTATTTAATCTAGAATTGCTTATAAATTTACATAATAACCATATAAACCTAATTTAAAAATAGTTAAATTTTAATAAATTTGTAAAATAGAAACAAATGATTAAAAGCTCGTAATTTAATATAATTAATGGAATGGTTTAACAGTTAAAATTTTTAAATTTTATTTAATGTGGTAGTATGAAAAAATTTGCTTCTTAACATAAATTCTGTACCATTCAATTGCCAGCCTAACTATTCCACACAAACAACCGCAACGTTTTCTTCTATTTGAAAGATTGTCAACTCGAATTTGAACCACCGAGAGAGTTTGCGGTACTAGTTGAAGAGGAAAAACGCGGCAAAGCAGCCAATTTTTCACGTGTTCTGCCTGTCGTGGGAGCGGCGTTTGGCAAAACGAGGCAGCTCCATTTGGGACGCTCGCTCGCGCGCCTGCCTATGTACTTTTAATATCGCTTTCTTTTGTTGGCGCCTGCATCCCCTGGGTAATAAGTGGAAAATGAAGACGCAGGGCTGCGTATGTTAATTCCGCGAGCGCGCGCGCGTCGTCGCTCGTATTTGCATGTTCAAGGAACGCAAGCTCGGCATCAGTTATGCGCGCACCCACGGATGGCTGACGCCGTAATATAGTGCGTGTGGGCTTTGAATATACGCGCCTGCACAAAATCCCCTGCCAGTTCGCAACCAACAATGCGTGCTAATGCAAACTTACGTCTCCGCCGACGCCCTTGTTGCAAATAATATCCCGGCCTGTTTGCACCAAACAAAGTTTTATGGCGGCTGCCAATACTTCTCTTGCGGCCAACGCAGCAATTCCCAGCTCCGCATTTTCAAATGTTCCACGCCAGTAATGGTCATAATTCAAATTTGTGGTTTGCTTGTGTATTCCGTTAATATTCAGTTGTAGTAAAATAATCTGTAAGAAAATGGCATTCGAAGCACATAAAAACCACTTTTTTATTGAAATTTATTTTTAATCACTAATTCTTTGAATATTGAATATATTTTTCCATCATTTTTACCCTCAAATTGCCCGTTTTATAAGAACACAAAGCCACTTATAAATTAAAATATCAATAATTTAACATTGAACAGCGCAAGGTCAATTTTGAAGATTATCTTATTTTAAATTAGAAAAAAAACAATTCATTTATATGGATATAATTACACTAAATGTTGATATAGTTCGTATTAATTTCTATAACTGTAAATAAAATATTTTCAATCCAAGATAATTTTTGCAAAAAAGAAAGCAATACTTTCGCATTTGTTTTCGGCAACACGTCTTACAAACAGCTCCAAACCAGAACAAATCGGTTGGAATGGTTTACTCTTACGGATTGAATAAATCATAAAACTCGAGAGCCTTGCTCAGTCAGATCTGTGTGGGAGATAAGGGATGAAATAAATTTCACTTCTAACGTTACCAAAAGTGCACTGCGCGACCCTTTCGCTGGAGGTTGCTGGTGCTCACTTGAGCGGATCTTCTATAAATGTTCCTGAATTTGCCCAGCCGGCACTTAACCTGCGAGTGAATCTCAGACTAATTCGAGTATGAAAGCATTATTATTTTTTGCTTCCAGTGCGCTGCACCAAAAGCGAGCCCAGCCTCTGCTTTATTACTCTGCAGAAGACTTTATTACCGCACACATCAAATAATTTGTATGTTATTTGTTCCGCTCAAGCGAACTCCAAACTCGGAACCTTATTTTCTTTACGGTACGAGTTTGGCCAAGAAAACTGCTCGGCAGAGCCTATTACCAAGAGAAAGGGGTAAAGGAGCCACCAAAGCTCTGGCAGAGCCAAAAGAACTCTTAAGTGGGAGGTACAGAATATACGAAAGATTTCAAAAGGGGGTTTCTCTGACCACAGGCTTGTTACTGCTGGCAAGAGGACTGGACATTTTTAATCATTTGAAGACGTTCAAGCAGAGATTTAGTGATTTGCTTTGATCGTTATAATATTTCTTTAAAATTACAACCTAATTTTTTAATAGAAGTAACAAAATTATCGCTTTTTTAACATGGAATTTAGAACCTCCCATTTTTTGTATAAAACATAAATTGAAATGGTATATAAAAAAAAAAATAAAAAATAAAAAACATTAAAGTTATAATAATTTCCCAAGCAAAGCTCGTAAATTATAAAAATTAAAGGAGAATAATTTTATTTTATTTTTAAAATAGTAAAAAAAATCATTTAATTATCTTTGGTTGTATGAAATATGGTTGGAACTCAAATTTGGCAAGCAAATTGCTGCTTTGAAACCCTTAACTCATTTATCTCTCCCCTGAAGGAGAATACATTATCTTTTTCGACTTGGGAACATTTCTTGCTCTCGCTCATTTTGTTATGCTAATCCTTTCCAGTTTCTCTCTCTCTGCGCAGAGAATCTCTCTGGTTTAGCATAAGCAAACAAATAAAGAAGCAGCTGCACACAATACCCTGCAGCCACGGTTCACGGCTTGATTGTTATCACCTCATTGGTGCTGAGCAAAAATGTGGCACCATCAGGGCTGCAGGATTACTTTCGAATGCGAGAGCATGGCAGGATCCCTGGGATTATGCGGTTTGTGCATTGCTTTTTGCACCTCCGGCGTCGCTTCAAACTCTAATTATTTTGGCCTGTTTGCAAATGTTTGCGGATTAATAATTGAGCGAGAAACAAAGCCAACGTTTGTTTTGGTGTTTGAAAATTTTAATTCGCTTGAAGCCTTGTGTAGCGATGAGATCCTGACGAGAGCACGTCCAATTAGGACGATTAGTCAATTTGTAAATTTTCGTAGGTTCCCTAAAATAATATGGGGAGTACTAATAAATAATTGTTCTGCTTATTTTCCTAAAATAATTTATTAAATGAAAATGTGGATTGGAATATAGTAAATTTACGTGCTCTCTAATTGTAAGTAATTAAAAAAGGAAAAAAAATGAATTTAAAAAGTTCTTAAATGATGAAAATATCCAATAAAAACGATCAAATGATGCAAAATTGAAAATTATCAAGGCTGAATGAGCAAAAAAATCAAATATTAAAATCTGATTAATAGGAGACAGTTTGATTTTATTGTGATTCCTGACATTATTATGAACACAAGATCTAATCAGAAGTTTCAGTGGATTAAAAACTCAGACATTACTGCACCATTTTCTAAATTCGTTAAGGCTCAAATTGATTTTCCGCATCGGAAAACAAACAAATTATCAAGATTTATGCAGCATATTTCTGCATGATTTCCAACTTGGACTATATTTTTGGGTTAACGTCTTCAACCGATTGGCAACACATGCACACACGCTCGTCGGAAAGGAATTTTGGCGAATGGAAATGGTGTTACGCGCCAGCTTTATGGGCGTATAAATATTGTCGGCATGGCCACTAAAAAGTACGCACGACGCATCATCTATAGCTTTTCATGCGGAGCTCGGAAAGTTATTTTCTCTGCGTTTTGTTTTGTGGGGTGGGTGTTTGCACGGCGAAATTGCAAACTCGCCCGCCGGCAGACTGGCTTTTTATTGAAATAAATAAATAAAAAATAGGCGGTGTGTTTTATAAACAAACGCGACATTTGTGGAAGGATAAATAAATGAGAGAAAGAGAGTGACCATTCCCCCAAACACACGCTAAAGCAAAGAGAGAAAAAAAAATTAAATTAAAATTTCGTTTTAAACGCATTATTTCATTAAAAATGTTAGTAAAAAGACAACAACATTTCCCATGAAAAAGTTTGTTTGAATCCATTATTATTGCTTGTATTAATACTTGATAAATTTAAGACATATAAGA